GTATATGAATGTTGCCAAGAACAGACCTGTGGGTGGGTAAACAGCTCTCCTAATATTGATTAGAGACTCAGACTCTTTAAAAATAGACACTGAATCACAACTTGTTGCATGCTGCCCTTGGGCAGGAGTTGGCTAGTGAACACCGCAAGCTCTGTTTGTAACTTCTTAAAGCTGTGTGTACTTCTTAAGTAGCCTGGAATCCGGTAGCAAAAACTCAAGTTAAGTGTACAGCAGAAAATGTAGATGATGGTCCTTTATGCTGTCCCTGCTTTTATGGTAATGATATTTTAATGCAATTTCATTACAAAAGTTAAGGCAATATACTGCTCAATTTCCATGACTTGAGAAAACTGGATTTCCATAAAAAGGTTGACTGGGTGTCTACTCAGTGGTAGAACTTTGCCTAGCATAGATGAGGTCCTTGGTTAAACTTTAGCAACTACAAAAGTTGATAAAAGCAAAAAGCTATATCATACTCCAGCTTTCCCTTCACCCCCAAATTTGAGCACAACTGTATAATCTGCATAGCTCCAGTCAAGATAGTCATGTTATAAAAGACCAGAGTCCATCCTTTATAGCTCATACATGCCTCAGGTCTTTACTTCCAGATGAAATTTTAGAGATTTTTTTTAATAACAGTAGGTACATGGAGGTCATAATCTTCTCTTCTTTTTGGTGGTACTGGAGTTTGAACCGAATCTCATTCTTACTAGGCAGGTATATCTGCTGCTTGAGCCATACCTCCAGACCAAGTCCATTAATCTTTAATAATGAGGAAGGGGTCAAAGTAGAACTTGTTTTCCTTTTTGTTAATCATATTATTGTTGTACTGGAGGTACACTGTGACATTTACAAAAGTGCTTTCAATATATATAGTTTGAATTCACCCCCTCCATCTCAAAGCTAGAACTTAAGATCTATAATTACAGTCACAAAAGTATAAATCTATAAATAGATAATATAAACACTGTGAAAAAATAATATGCTCAATTAAAATTAAGCAATATAATTGGGGAAATTTTCCTCATTCCTCATAGTATGGAATTAAGAGAAATTTATATTAAAAACTCAATCCTACTGGGGAGGCTGAGATAAGGAGGATCATAGGTTGAGGACAGCATTGTAAGACTCCATCTCCAAAATAATCAGATCAGAATGTATTGGAGGTATGGCTCAGATGGTAGAACACCTTCTTTACAAATGCCTCCTTTGCAAATATGAAGCCCTGAGTTCAAATCCCAATCCCACCAAAAAAACCCTAAATAGTAAAGGGATTATAAAAATTAACTTCTTTAAGTTACCAACAAATGTGTGTTTCTT